CTGGATCATTAATTTGTTATTTGTGCACTCCATCCATACCTTCATTCCAATTTTATCTCGTATCCAGTCGAACTCTTCACGTTATTCTCTAGCAACGAATAAAAATATAAAATCAACTAGCCCTGAAAAATCTAAATTGAATCCATAAACAATAAAACATTATCCGGGAACAACTACAAATAGTCAAATACGAAATACGGTCTTCTCAAAACAATCTAACCAGCTACAACCAGACTTTGGATCCCTAACCACTGGCACTCCATACACAAAAACATATTTCTTGACATGAAAAACCTGTTACAGCTAGGAAATACCTGTCAAAGACTGGTAAATTAATGAAAAGTTTGATGCTCGATTTCCTCTCGTTTAGGGAATGAACAGATACCAGTGGCCAGTTCAGTTACTGATGTCTAGTAGCTCTTCTACTGGACCCCACTCCACCTAGCCCAATCCACAAATTGCATCCCGCCATATATATTGTTGGCAAAACGTACACCCACTGTGAAAGCCATGGCCAAAGGCGGCATTTTCTTAGCCATCGGTGAAGCTTCTACAAGACTTTCAAGCCCGTTTATAATTTGGTAACGGGTATTTGATGATACTGCAAGAAAGATGCCTGAAAGATAGATATGAAAATTTCAAGAGTTAATAAATCAGCAATTTCGACTAAGTAGCAAGCTCTCCAAAGTAAGATTACTCATTTTGTATAAAGGAAGGAAATGCAAGGCAAAATCTTGTGCCACCTACACATTATGGGTGCAATGTTTTATGAGACACTTCAATTTTATTAAATTTCCAAAAGCAAGAAGAGTTCAGTTCAACATGAATTGCAGTTGAATATATGCTAACTCAGACACAGATTATCGACAGGAGACTGATATTCAGATCTTTTTTATTTTTCCTTTTTTGTCCCTGATTGAAGTAAAACAAAAACTCGATTATTTAATTTTCAAATTGACATATACCCCAGAGGGCAGCACTTTGCACTAAGGGCGGCACTGGTACATCCTCCTCAGACTTCTTGAAACTCCTGTCATGTTGATAGGAATTAGTCACTAAACATCTCATAAATGAAAGGAACACATAACAAAAGACATCAACATAAATGGCCAAAAAGCACGTTAGAAAATCTGCTTTGATTGCTCACGCTACAAAGTTTACATAAACATCTCAAGTGCCACCCTCATTCTAATCACTCAACAACAAATATGGAGGATCAATGAGAATGGTTTCTTCACCCTCAAGTTTCCAAGCAGATTAACTGAATTTAGCACGCGTATATATTGTTTTGTTTTATACATTCTTTTATTTAGATCTTTTTTCAAGAAATTTTATGTCCATTAACACATATTCAAGTAAGTTACAGCTGTATATGCATATCTAAAATATTAATTAATTAATTGATCTCACTGGACAATGATTTCCTGATTTGAAGTTAAAAAAAGCGCACCTTTTAGCAGTCATGATTGTATTTGCGATGCCTTGGCCAATAAGACCACATCCAAAACCTACGGAGCCATATAGAACACCCTGCATTCAGAAGAGTATACGAGTTTCAAAAGTTAATTTTAATAATACCATAACTGTTTTACATGAGCTTCAAGGATTTAATCATGACAACAGGCAAGAGATGAATAAGGACAGCCCATCTGTTGTTTTACTTTCCTAATCCTGTCAATACTTGGAAAAAAAAAAAAGATCGCTATGAACGTCAGTTACATTAAGATACCTTGTAAAAGTATGTTGCAATCCGCTGTTGAGTTGAAAATCTAATTCCTGGCCTTGCAGCTTCAAAGACACTGGGAACATTCGGTAAATACATCAAATTTACTTTTCAGATTCAGGGAATTGAGGTAACCAAATTATATAGGATCCTACTCGTGCAATCCATCACATGTACCAAAAAACAAGTATCATAACAAAAATTTGTTTTAAAGCCACTAATTTTATCCGAGGAAAATGTAGTCCACTATAAAACTTCAACTCCATATAGTATGAAGTTGAGTGCAAAACGCCTTTAGGAAGTTGGGATAAATCTTACGGCTTAAGATCATTGAATTATCCTTTATTTCTCAGATATCTGTAAGATTTATCCAGCTGCAATTAGAATCATAAGTTGAAATGACATAAGGTTCTAAGGGTATATACACAAACAAGCAGAGTCTTCGGGAACACAACACACATCATTCACCTGCTCGGAAGTGCTCCACAAGCATGTTGTAAACGTCCAAAAAATCCACTGGATACGGATTGTTTGCCTATACGAGCATAAGGGGCCAACATACCAACCAAAGCAATGTCAACAACAATACCCACTAACAAATCAGCAGCATACAATTCGAACTCGGCCCAGAAATCCTTTCCCCTCTTCTTAACTTCCGCGAACGTTGCACAACAGGAATCGATTACTATCTGTGAAAAATTCAGATACAGTCAAATCTTCACACGAAAACCATTAAGAAAGAAAGAGACAAAGAAAAATAGAGAGAGAGAGAGAGAGAGAGAGTAGCCTCATGTGACGGGTTAACAATAAACTACCAAGAGTTGATTAACAGAAACCACATTCATACGGTGCTAGGAACTTTGTGACTCTGTATGTATCTACCTCAGTCCCAACTTTAAACAGGAAAGAAGGATCGACCAGCATCCTGTCCCGAAGCATTGAGCAATATCTCATCAAAAATCCTAAAGGCCAAGCCGAACCCTGCAATGTCAGTCCAAAAAGAATAATAATAAGCACAATTATCTAGCAGCAGCAACTGAAAATATAAAATATAACAAAAAAAAAAAAAGAAAGAAAATCAATCCGGATAAGTGACAAGCATTTTCACCTGAAAATCCAAGTAGCGGATAAGAAACAATCTGCGAAGTCCCGTGGTTTTCGCCGCCTCAAGCATGTCAGCCGGCAGAACGGCGCCTCGTCTTTCCGCCTCAACCAAAACCTCGTCGTATTTCATAATTGGGCCGAACTCCTCCTCATCGCCATCACCTCCATCTCCCTCCCCACCTCCGCCGCCGCCTCCATGAGGGAACCGCCCATTCCCGCCATCCCCGTTGCCGCCATTATCGTCCGTTTTGGATTCCTCGAGATTTCCCGATAAATCAGTTGTTCCCATCACCGGCTCCGGCTCATGCCCTAGCCCGGCGCAAGGTAATCGAAACTGTGTTCGACAGCCGATCCCAACGGACGGTTGATTCTGAGGCGTGAACTTAATGTTCAATTTGAAAACGGCGTTTCTGCAAGGAGGCTGGTTCGGCGAGTTTAGAAGCTTCGCTGCGGCAAGGGCGCCGCCAGAGGAGCAGACGGACGACATCGTTTCAATCTAAAAATTCGCAGAAAACGGGAAATGCAAGAGAAAAGATCCTGGCCGCTGGCGGCGGTCGAGTGTTTGTGTGTCGAGTATTAGCGGAGAGTGCGAGTAGCAGTGGGGTTGCGAGCTGCCTGCAGGACTGCTTGTACTTTCCAATATAATAACTAATGTATAAAACCATTGACTGAAAAAGAAAAAAAAAAAAGCCACAAATTTTGATTGTTGCTATTTGTAGCCCCAAATTGCTACTAGTTGTCCCAAAAAATAATTTAATAATAATTAGAATTACATTTTTGTTCTAATAAAAATGTTTTACCTACTTTTTAGTTTTTACACAAATTACTACTTTTACCAAATTGCTATTTGTTGCCTTTGCCTCTAAATTAATTTGACTCACTTTTATCTAAATCCATACCTTCACCAATCTACTTCTTCTTCACTTTTACCAAAATTCACATCTTCATTAATCTCCTTCTTCCTCTTCACTAAAAATTAACAAACCTATCTCAACATTATTTTTCATTAATCCACGTGTCTAGTAATCCAACATCACCGGAAACACATGCAAATGAAGTAAAATTGTGTTAACCCCTATTTTTTTTTTATATTGATTTTCACTCAAATGAATCTCTTGATTTTTGAGTGTTTGAGTTATTTTAGGACTTAGATCATTAAACCCTCCTCATATATGTTGCATTAAACCAATGTGATGGGTAGATTAGTATGGTAGAGTGGATAAAGTGATAATAGATGTAGGTTAGGGTTTAAGTTCGTTCAGTAAACGTCTCAGGTAAAAGCTAGAATGTGGACTAAACGTCTGATAGCTAAGCTTACATAAGGCGTAAACGTTTTAATGTTAAGCTACATGACCCATAAAACGTCTAACTTGAAAGCCCGACTGTGAAGAGAAACGTCCCGTTTGTAAGGGGCAATACTTAAGAAACGTAAATACTCAAAGCTCGGAAGACTCTGATTCGTCTAAACCTAAAGCTTATTTGCAGTTCAAACTTCCAATTTGTTTGGGGAAACACTTAAGAAACGTAAATACTGAAAGTTTGTAAGCTTATTATTGAATTGTGTGGGTTTAAAAGAGCTTATATTAAATAGCTAATATGCCTGCATTGCAGTCATGAGAAAGGGTCAAACTGCAGGATATCTCCTCAGAACCAAAACCTGTAAAACTTCTGGTTCTTGACATTATAACAAAAAAACAAAAAAAAAAAAGAAAAAAAGAAAAAACAAAAACAAAAGAAGGCACATATTTATCTCAGTTGCTCTTAACCATCTTCAGTTAATTTTACGAATCACTTATGTTCCAATTTAAAAATATTGCAGCATCACATTTTGGAACAGAAGATGGTGAGGAAATTATATAGTTTGCTCATCCACATTGTAACTAATGATTCGTCTATAGATGTTTCACCTGACTATGGTCGAGTTTGCAAGAATTTTTTCGTCGATGAAAGAAAAAACAACAGTCCCTTTCACTCAGATTTCTTTCACAATCTATACAGAAAGTGAAAAACACAAGTGCCCCATTCAGGTTTCGTATTTGCTTGGTAAGTAACACCAGTTAGAGATACCTAGTTAGAGATACCTAATTGTGAAACAGAAACAGATATGAAGTCAATATTAGTAACTTGTACAACCCTTTGTGAAAATTCTACATGCTTACAAATATGGAATTAAACTTTTAACTCACACGTTCAAAGTTCATCATGCATAGCTTGTTCTAACTCGGGAACAACATTTATATCAACCCTACCAACCAAAGGCGCCATAATCACTTCTTGACCGGCCATGCCAGCTTTCACAGCACTAATCACTTTTCTCTGCAACTTTAGAATACCAATGCGCTTTGAAACAACATACAGCACAGCCAACGAGAAAACAAGAAACCCCATCACAATTATCACTCTGCAAAACAAAACCCAAAAACAAAAACGAAAAAAGAAAGTTCAATATTTAGAAAGAGAGAGAGAGAAAGAGAGGCAACCAAATCACAATTTAAAAAAAAATAAAATAAAAAACAATGTAATTACAAAACCACCCCTCAAGTTCGACAGTTGCAAACAAACTCCAGTCATCTTCCACAAGCAAAAATTAACCCCTTAAGTAAGCACTCCTCAAGTTAGATAATTGCAAACAAACTCCAATCATCTTCCACAAGCAAAAATTACCCCCTTAAGTAAGAGACAAAATAACGGGGGGGCATTTGTGAATTTGGGTAATACAAGCTATATATAAGGAAAAGGAAAGAGGTCAAGCCTGTCAAGAACATCTTGACGTTGCATGGTGGAGAGAAGGCCTCGGGTTCGAGAGAGCAAAGAGCGATGGCCCTTGTATTCGGTTTCGGCTTTTCTCAATACTCCTGTTGATTCCTCTGTAAACATAAAAAATGCTGGGAATCATTTTCAAAAATTGACATTTGTTGGGAAATAAACTAATAAATAAATGAGTGGAGAACATAGAATCCTATCGTAATTAATAAAAACAGGAATATACCGAAAGTCATGAGGGTGCTTGCACTCCTGTCAACCTCCTATGATCATAATGAACGGTCATACTTACATATCACAATTTATATTGGTATCAACATTACCAAACTCACAATAAAATAAAATAAAAAATTACAACCTGAACCATGAGCTGGCGTGTACGTCGAAGGCTTTCTGTGATGCTCTCAGCAGCAGAAGTCATTCCTGCTTTCGTCCTAACAAGATTTTATGATTGAATTTCATTATTCAGTGCTTATACATAATCTAGAAATATTTTCCTTGTCAAATACTTTCAGAGAACAGGTTAAGGTTAAGGAACAGAAAGAATATGGCAGAGAGCAAATTTACGTACTGCAGATTGCGCCTTCGAGTTGTAGACTCTTCCCCACCTCCCAAAAGAAGCTCTCTCTGTGAATTAAAACATATAGTATATCTTGATGGTCAGTTACTGAAATGAAGTCAAAGTTCTCATTATTCAAAAGCATATAATAAAGGTTAACATCTATAAGATATGTATCGAGAGAATTTTTAAACTTTTTAATTTCAATAATGCTGAAATCTATTCTACATTTAAATGTCAAATGAGGCTCATTTAAATTTAGGTCCACTACCTCTTGATGAGCAGTTTTCTTCATGTTTGCCTTGGCTTGCAAATTAGCATTCCTTAAACTCAGCCGCAAGCTACAATACAATTTACACAGTTAAGAGATGTTAGAACACTTATGGTAACAAACAAAACCCTTCACTAACCAGTACCCACAATCACTTTACTGCCCAAATATATCAAAGATCAAAATAAGTCAAAACACAAACTCAACATTGCACTAGCAAAATGAACATTTCATTGGACTGATCCAAGTTCTACCAAAGCTCCATCTCTTCAACACTTCTCCACCATAATATCCCATCCAGGTAGCACAAAATAAGGTACTTGCAAATACAAATATCATCCAAACAAAATGAGATTAATACACACATTTGACCATACGGGTATGCACTAATTCAACTACTATCAGAATGCCCAAAAGGCTAAAATCAATTCAGTGTTTAAGCTCAACGCATATCTGCCACATTTGACTTTCTTACACTATTTCCTTTCCTTTTTAACTTTTATTTCGACCAACTAATATATCTGGATAATCTACTGAAAAACCGCACTCCAATCAGCAGATACAAACACAACCAACGCATTTGAAAAATTGCAGTATACACTTCAAATCCTCACGAAACTGAGAGAAAACAAACTAACTGAAGGGTACCTCTGGATTTGTTTCTCCCATGACTGAGCCAACGATTGCACCTTTTCAGCGTCATCAACGAAGGGAAGTTGCGGGGCAAGAAGATCAAGGTTGAACTGAAGAAATTGAAGCATGTTGAGGCCATCTTGAGCCAGCCCATTTAATCTGGGCAGAGAATCTATCTTTTCTGATTCACCTGGATTGCCAATCCTTGATTTTATCCCGTACTCTTGGATCGAATCTATGTGTTTCACCGTTTGGTCGTACGTTTCGTGGAAATCCCTTTTAACTTTCTCAACTTCTTGTGTTACTTGATCCATCCGCGTGATTATAGAGAAAAATGGAGTCGATGAAGACGAACTGGAATCTGATGATTGGAATTGAAACTGTAAAGCCCCGTTTAATTTTAAAGAAAATACTCAATTTCCAAAATTAAAGTTAAATTTTTCAAAACATTTTCAAGTTAAAAACTCTTTAGGACGATTACTCAAAAACTCCTATCTAAAACTCGAGTAAAAAAAATAAACTCTCTTTCACAAAGAAATGAATACACACAGTTGAAAATCCTTTCACAAGCCAAAGATTTCAATATTCAAACTCAAAATTACACAAAGTTAAATATCTTAAGTAAAAACATTTGATAAACAACTACGACCACCCTCGTCTCCTCATGACCGCCACCAGCTACTTGTCCTGAAAAATGTTAATGTATAGGAGTGAGCAAAACACAAGCTCACTATGGGAACTATGCAATATATCTATATAAATATAAAAAGGTTTGACATTTACTTATAATAGCAACTAAAATCCCGCCAAAATAATTTATATTTACTTTTATTAGTAACTTTTAGAAAATTTTGAAATGGGCCGGTGTTTTTGAAATTTGAATCGAAAAAGGTAAAAAAAATTGAAGAGAATCTAATTGGTCACATATATGTCCGATATTTTGGAAACAAATTTCGATTTTAGTTTCAATATAAATGAAGGATCAAACTGATTAGCTGGCCGAGATCGTATTAAGTTTTGTGTTTTTGGAAATATTTAATCATTATGGAAACAAATTTCTGTCCTGCAAAAAATTAGGTTAGTTGTTTAATTAAAAAATTAGCATCCCAATTTGCAAAAAAATCCTATTTCACTGCCCCACATCAACGTTTGTGAGTGGGAGAAGATCTTACCATTTTATTTTTGATTTTAGTAAAAAAAAAAATTGTTTTTTTTTGTTAGCATATTATATACCAAATTTAAAAGTAGATGTTTTGGAGGTGTGGTCAAAGTAGATGTTCTGGAGGCTATCCTCAGTTTCTTCCAATCTGGTATGATATTAAAATAATGGAACCACACCATTCTCTCTCTGATTCCCAAAGTTGCTCAACCAGAAACCTTGTCTCAGTTCAGACCTATCAGCTTATGCTGTGTGATCTATAAGATTCTATCCAAGGTGTTAGCCCAGAGACTTATGCACTGTTTGAATGACTGTATCAGCCCACATCAATCTGCTTTTGTGAAGGGAAGGCAGCTTATGGACAACATTATTATAGCACAAGAAGCCTTCCACTTTCTCAATAGACACTCTTCAGGGCACAACTACTTTATGGCACTCAAGCTGGATTTAATGAAGGCCTTTGACAGAGTGGAATGGCCTTGTATCCAGAGAATCATGAATCAAATGGGTTTCCACTCTGATTTTATAAAGCTTATCATGGTATGTGTCTCCACTACATCTATCTCCTTTAAGATCAATGGAAAAGTCAGTGGCTATATCACACCAACCAGGGGCATTAGACAGGGGGACCCTTTGTCCCCCTATCTATTCATCATTGTGGCTGAGCTTCTTTCAGCTCTAATCCTCAACTCTCAGAATCAAGGAAGTATTACTGGGCTCAAGCTATCTAGAAATGGCCCTGCAATCTCTCATCTGGCTTTTGGCAGATGACTCTTTGTTATTTTGCAAAGCAGGAGTGGATCAGGCTCTTCATCTAATGACTATCCTTGAAAAGTATAGACTTTTTTCTGGTCAGAGAGTAAACCTGCAGAAATCAGGGATCTTCTTCAGCAGGAACACCCCTCAAAGCCTCAAGGATAATATCTGCAATGTTTTTCAAGGCATAGTACCTCACAGATCCACTAGGTACTTAGGCCTTCCATTGGGCATAGGCAGATCAAAAAAGGAGGTGTTTGACTACATCATTGCCTCTGTGAGGAACAAACTGCAAGGTTGGAAAAACAAGTTCTTGTCCACTGCTGGCAAGGAAGTGCTAATCAAATCAGTAATCCAAGCTCTGCCCATCTTTTCCATGAGTTGCTTTAAGCTGCCAGTATCCATCTGTAAGGAAATCTCTAAATTGTGTGTTGCTTTTTGGTGGAAGTCAAGTGATACCTCTGAAACAGGCATTCACTGGAAAAAATGGGAAAAAGTCACTCTTCCAAAACTCACAGGGGGTTTGGGTTTCCATGACATTGGCCTTTTCAATGAGGCTCTGATTTGCAAGCAATTGTGGAGAATTGCCACAAATCCTGAACTGTTGGTTAGCAAAATCCTCAAGGATAGATATTTTCCATCTGACTCTCTTCTTAGAGCTGAAAGATCATCTAGGGGATCATGGTTACGGAACAGTTGGCTCACTGTACTGCCAACTTTTATCATATGTGTGAATATTGAAATTAGGAATGGCTTCAGCACTAAAATTAATTACTGGAACTGGGTTCCTAATCTGAAGAAGCCATATCCTAACATGCTTGAGATAGCCAGAGGACACCTGATTTGGGTCAAGGATCTGCTTCAGAATGATGGACAGGGTTGGAATACTTGGCTAATTAATCAAATCTTTGATAATGAGGACAGTGCAGCAATTCTCAATATTTCTTCCTTAAATCCTGCTAGGCCTGACAGATTGTACTGGAGACTAGATCCCAAAGGCAAATTCACAGTTTCCAGCACTTATAATTTTCTAGCTGCTCAGAAACTCCTCAGAATGGACATCCCCGAGTCAAGCTCCAGAAATTTTCCCCCTCACCAGGCTTTTCAAAGGTGCTGGAAGTTGAAGATACTTGGGAAAGTTAAACACTTCATCTGAAAGTGCATATCAGACACACTTCCATCAGCTGTTAATCTGAAGAAGAGAGGAGTGACATCAGTGTACTATGCTCAATCTGTGGTGAACTTCCTGAGACAACAGAGCACATATTATTCACATGTGCTAGAGCTAGAAGAATTTGGGATTATGCTCCTTTGCAATGGGATGGTTTATCTCCATATACATTCTCATTTAAACTCTGGTGGCAGCAGCTGAGTACAATTAAGCACAAGGAGGTTGTCCAAGACAGAATCCAATTGTCCACCTACTTGCTTTGGTGGCTTTGGAAATCCAGGAATCTCTGGATCTTCAAGAACTCTCTCATGCCTGAGCACATTGTTGTTGCAGCAGCTCATAAGGATTGGATGGCTTCTTCTTCATCATCTTTATTGTTTGGTTAGCTTCTGTTTTTATTTAGTTGGTTTTCCAGTTTATAGTGTTTTTAGGAGTATTTTAGCTTCTTTGTGTTCCTGCTGTTTTAGGTGGTTGTGCTATCTAGCTAGGCTTTGGCAGTGGATAGATGCATAACCTCCATTTGTGTTAGTTGGGTTGTTGTTTTTCTGTATTGTTGAGGTTCTAGATGCTTTGTGTAGCATCTCTCAGTCTTGTGTTTTTTTTTAGTTCGACGTTGCCACTCGGGTTGTACTGTACTCTCTTTGGTTTTATTTATATCATCTCTATCGTTTTGGCAAAAAAAAAAAAAACATGCAATTAACCAAAAAAAGTAATAGCCACAATATTTGACCAAGATTATTCTGTAGATTAGTTACATAAATTTGAATTTAAAATAATTGACCGTCATTTTTCAAAAATGTTTTAAAAAATTAATAATAAATGTAAATTTGATTTTTTTTGGCGGGATTTTAGTTACTATTTCAGGGAAATACACATTTTTTATACATATAGATTAAAAAAATGTTGGAGGACATTTATTGATTTTCCAATTCAATTTTTTATATATGTTTATTTTTTAAATCATAAGTTTTATTTTATTTTAGGTTAAATTGATGTCTATATGGAAATCACACGTTTTTTATACCTGCCAATTTGTTTGATTCAGATTCTTTAATTTCAATAAATGGTGAATCTTCAAAGGATTATCCATAACTTGCCATATGGAGGGAGGGTTGAAGATTATGCTAATATGCCAATTTTTTTATTCAGATTCTGGGTTGATTTATTGTATTAAACAAAATAAGTATTTGTTTTAGATAGTACGTACAACCGATGTAATTTCTTATGGTGAATTCAAGTCACCAAAAAATAATACATTTATGAACATGGTGTTTTGTAGTGCTATCTATTAAAAACAATGAATAATGAAAGAGAACTTATGGTTTCATTTGCTACATTTATGTAGGATATTTCTATTTCGGAAGGAAAACTTAATTAGAGATTTTCTATATTTTTTTTTTTTTGGACAGTACTCTTGGTATGTAGTAGTTGGAAATAGTTAAAATGTAAGTGGCATTTTGTCTCGGATTTTTGGTCCTATATTGTGCATATATTGTGTAGTTAATAAATATTTATAGAAATATTTAAAGAAAAAAAGGAAAAAATTATTTCCGTAAATTTTACAAATATCTCTCCATGTTATGTATTCTATTTATTTAAGCCATATATATCTTAAATCATAAAATACATTGATATTATATAGCCCAAACAATTCATACGAAATATATATGACAAACACTAACTATTTTTTTTATAGCAAATATGTATTTACATGTCAATATAATCCACATAACTTTAACAAATCAATATTTAAGATTTTTAGCCGTGCCTGACGCACAGGCTTTCCATAAATAATGTAATCTCGCCTTAACAAACATTCATATAGAATTTTATACCTTTTAGTGTTTGAAAATGTTTATAACATAATTCATCGCATTTTGGTTCTTACACTACGTAGCGTAAATAAAATTTCGTGTTGCGTAAACTATAAAAGTATAAAATTTAGTTTGTTAGAAATATCAATATATTTTTACATAATAAAATTGGGTGGTTAATTTAAACAATTATCTTAATACATATTTTATTAAAAATAAATTTTATAATAAAATAATAATTGAGTATTATGATGAATAAAAAGAGAATAATTTTATTTTGATATGAAATGTTCGAATATAAATGGTATGTATTTTATTTGGTATGGATAGAAGTGTATTTGAAAATTTTGAAAATAAAATAAGTGATATGAATTATTTTGCATGGGTATGAAAGTCAAATTTTAGATTGATTTGTTATAAAATCAAAGTGATATGCTTTTCAAATTTTAGCATATTCAATAAGAAATAGCCATAAGATCTTGATGATAATTCAACAATTGGTATGTATTTCTCTTGAAAATTAGAGAGATCTTTGAACAAATATTTGTTAATAAAAATTAATATTTGTTATTTAATTCTAGAAAATTAGTTGATAAATTTGAATGACAAGGTAATTGACAACAAATTAATAAAATTTCGAGATTAATAATATATATATATATATATATATATATATATGGAGATCTATTGTATAGTCCAAATATAGGTTCGAAATTTAAAATTCAAACAAATAATTTTTCATACCTTATGAGTCAATATTTATTTGAATGTAAATAGAATATGCAGTTATTTATAGTTTAATAAATTACTCAACTACTTA